CGGGGCGCGCCGCCTGGCCACGGTGGCCGCCTTGGACACGGAGCGCGGAGAGTGGGAGGCGTGGGCCGCGGCCCCCGGCAGCTGCCCTCCTGCGGGCCTCAGCGGTCACACCTGCACCCGCCTCTCCGACCGAGAGCTGCGGGTGGCAGGCAGGGAAGGGGGGATCCGCACCCAGCGTCGCTATGGAAGCATCTACACGTTAAGGCTGGACCCCGGCGCCCGCACCTATTGGTACGGCCCAAATCCTGTCACCCTCCATCTACACTCTAGAAAAGCCAAGGCTGTTTCGCGAGCCGCTTATCCACATCCTCACCCTGGCAGCCGCCTCCCCGGGACGGCTATTAGCCGAGCTCTCTGCCAAAAGTACCTCCCTCTCGCCCGGCCCACTCCTCTATCCCGCGCCGCCTTTCGATCTTTGGCAAAGGGGTGGGGAAAAGGCCCTACAGCTCTTAGTTTCCGGAAACCCCAACTCAGGCCTGACCCTGTGTCTATCCTCAGTTATAAGGAAGAAAGGTACCACTCCGTCTCCCGCTCCGGACACTGTGCCGCCCTGCTCCCAGCTTCTGGGCCCCGCCCAGGTCACCAGCTGTGGCTCTTTGGGGGCTGCAACTCTGCTGAACCAGAAGTAGCTGGGCATTGGAGTCATGGGAAGATTAAGGTATTATTCACACCTTGCTTAGGGTGGAAGGCAGTTAAAATTGTAACGCTCAAATCCCTCCAGACTGCCCCTTTTTTCTCCCCCAAGGAGGAACCGCCTATTGCCCCTCGTTTGATGGAACAGCTTGTAAAGCTTGTGAGCAGTGCGCAGGGGTCCTGGCAGGGCCCTCGGGGACTGCGGCATCACTCCTGTTCTGTGGTTGGGCCCTTTGCTGTGCTGTTTGGTGGAGAAACTTTGAGCAGAGCTAGAGACACCATTTGCAATGACCTCTACATCTATGATACCCGTGAGAGCCCGCTTCATGGTTGAGGAGGGGAAAAGGTGGGAAGATATGATAACCTGAAAGCCATAGAAAGCAGGTGGAGTGCAGTAGGAAGGATTAGCTGACAAGTTAAAGGAATACACAGAATATTAAATTTTGAAGAGGCCCAACAATCAAGTGAGGAGGGGAAAAAAAGGGCAAGCTATTGGTCTTGTTAAGAGCCCCATGGGTGACAAAGTGCTACTGCCCCAATATCCTCCCTCTACCTTACCCAACAGGCAGCTCTCCTTCTCTGTGGTTCCACTTCCCCTGTGCGGACCCTGCGCTGAAACGTGTGGGCCATCAGACCTGCCTTTGGAATGATCAGCTTTACCTGGTTGGGGGTTTTGGTGAGGACGGCAGGACGGCCAGCCCACAGGTTTGCACCCTGGACCTCTTTATCTAAAGAATGGTGCCAAGACACACTGCCAAGCCACTGTTTTGTTGTAAACTCATAAAGCATTATCACCAGAGCTACCTGCCTCCTTCAAATGCTTACTATTAAATTTCAATCTAACAGTCAACATTTGTGTCTGAAACTTTTGGGGTGATGACTGTAAATAAGGAGACACATCTGTTTTGACAGCTGTGGCTCTGTGGTAAGAGCATCAGCCTGTGGCTTGTGCACTGAAGGGTCTCAGATTCGCCTCCTAGTCAAGGGAGGCAACCAATTGATGTGTCTCTTTCACAATGGTGTTTCTCTCTCCCCCCACCCTTCCACTCTAAAAAAAAAAAACAATGGAAAAAATATCCTTGGGTAAGGATTAACAAACAACAAAAAAGTAGATACATCTTTGTATGCAAGGCAAAGGATAACATATGGGATGCCTCTGATACTGTGAGCCATTAACCTGATGAAACCAAAGCCACAAATCACATGCTTTTCCCTGCCCCATGCAAATTCCACCCCTCACAGTGGGAGAAAGCTTTAGGCTAGAGCTAAGCATTCTGACCAAAACATTTAATTAACAAAAAAATATTACAATAGCAGAGAAAATAATAACAACAATAAAGAGAACTTAGAAGTGAGAGTCAGGGCAGGAAAAATGTGAAGGCCTTGGTCCCTAGGAGACCAGCACTCCGGCTGAGCTGGCCTTGGCTCCAGCTCCCTCTGAGCTTTCTTTGGCAGGCCTCTCGTCCTCCCCCACTAGACGAATGTTGTGCTTCTCCCGGAATTCATTTAGTTCCTTTCCCTTTGCCTGCAGCTGCTGTGTCAGGGTCTCAATGATCTTCTGTATCTAGAAGGCAAGCAACAGGCACCGCATAAGGATTTCAGGATGTCCTTCCCCCACCTGGCATGGAGCAGGAAAGTGAGGAAGATAGGACACCTCCAACCTCACCTTTAACCAGGCAGTAAAGGAGCCCAGACACTGAAATTACTCCTTTCTCAAACACAATGTTTCACAAATCTTAGTGTACACAAGAATCCCGTGGGCTGCTTATTTTTAAAAGGCCACTTCATAGGCCCCATCTCCAAAGGTTCTAAACCAGGACAGGGTCTAGGAAACTGCATTTTAAATTAGTCCTCCAGGTGATTTGAATGCAGGTATCCACAGAAACACTGCTCTCACCACCTCCCCTCCCCAAATCAGCCAGGTCACAGAGCCACCAAGTCCTCTTGTCTAGGACTTGGACCTAGTGCAGCATAAAGAGCAGAGGCTAATGCCCTGACTGGTATTTCTCAGTGGTTAGAGTCACGGGTTTGACTCCCAGTCAAGGGCATGTACCTGGGTTGCAGGTTCAATCCCCAGCTGGTTGGGGCTCATGTGGGAGGCAACCAATCGACATCTCTCTCTCACACTGATGTTTCTCTCTGTGTGTCTCTCTCCCCCTCCCTCCTTCCCTTGCACTTTTTCTAAAAATCAATGGAAAAAATATCCTCAGGTGAGGATTAACAACAACAAACAGCAGAGGCACACAACAGCATGGCTCAACAGTTGAGCACAGACCTATGATCTAAGAGATGACGGTTCGATTCCCAGTCAGGGCACATGCCGGGGTTGCGGGCTTGATGCCCAGCAGGGGGCGTGCAGGAAGCAGCCGATCAATGACTCTCTCATCATTGATGTTTCTCTCTCCCTCTTCCTTCCTCTCTCTGAAATCAATCAATCAATCAATCAATCAATGCAAGAGCAGAGGCTAAGAGGCTACTCAGACTTTCCTCCACCTACCCCCAAATCCCTGTCCTCCTCTTCCCAGCCCTTGGTTGCCCAGAGCTCCCCTCAGGAATTCCTGCTCACCTGCTCCTTGTTGTTCTCCAAGGCAGGTAGCACCTCTTTGACAGTGCGCTCCACCAGCACCCCTCCAACCATGCGGAAGCACTTGCGGGTTTCATCTACCTCCTTCAGTGTATCAATCACCAGGCTGGGACAGGACAATAAGGCAGGGCCTCAAAATTCAGGCCTGCGCTACTGCAGCCCTGCCCTACAAAATGGCCACCCAACTTCCCTACTGTCTGCACCTCCCCACTGCCTCACCTGTGCTCATTCAACTCCATCTCCAGCTCAGCTGCCTTGGATGCCAGGCCACGCTGTTCCTGCCGAAGGCGGTTGAAGCCAGCAATTACCTGAGGTGAGAGACATAAGAAGTGAGAGAAGAGACACTGGAAAAGGCACAGGGTCAAGATACAATATAGGGTCGCAGGCTTTACAAAGACGCAGTGGTGGACACCTACCTTGGAAAAGGAGAGGACACAAGTTTGCAATTTCTAACTTAGGTATGCCTAGAATTCCATTCACTCAGCACTTACTGAGTGCCTGCTGTGTGAGTCCACCTTGCAGTGACAGCTGGTGAGAGGTAGGCATCTGTAATATAGGGATGGGGTGCAAAGCTACTGGGTCACCAACAGAGGAGTTTAGCTTTGCATGTAAAGAGCGGTAAGGAAAGGTGCTGTAATGACCAAGTCCTGTATGGGTCTACCCAGTATCCCTCCCACTGGGGAACTGCCCCTCCTTTAACACAGTGGGGTTCTTGGGGGGCTACTAATCGCAGCACCCTTGCTCCCTGACCACTGGGCAGGAACCTGTTCTATGCTAGTCTCTCCACAGGAATTCGATGCTGGGGGAGAGGAACAGGTACAGACATCAGCTGGAGCTGAGACACCTTGTTATCCTTGTAAACAGTTATCTGACCTTTCTTTTCAGTATTCAATTCTGTGAACTACCCACCATCCTTCTAAAGCAATCCTTTAAAAAAAACCAACAAACCCCACACTTTGCCCTGGCCAGTTTGGCTCAGTGGTTAGAGCATCAGCCCACAGACTGAAGGGTCCCAGGTTTGATTCCAGCCAAGAGCATGTGCCTTGGCTGCAGCCTCGGTCCCTGGCCCCAGTCGGGGCATGTGCAGAAGGCAGCTATCAATGTCTCTCTATTACATCAATGTTTCTCTCTGTTTCTCTTTCCCTCCACCGCCCCCCTCTCACTTCTCCTCTCTCTGAAAAGCAATGGAAAAAATAGCCTTGGGTGAGGATTGAAAAAACGCACAAAAACCCTGGCCCAGGATAGCTCAGTTGGTTAGAGCATTGTCCCGAAGCACCAAGGTTGTGGGTTTGATTCCCAGTCAGAGCACATACCTAAGTTGTGGTTTCAATCCCCAATGGGGATACGTATGGGACCGATCGATGTCCCTCTCTCTCCCTCTCCCTCTAAAATCAATAAAAACATACCCTTGGGTAAGGATAAATATATAAAATACACATTTCCTCCCTTGCCATCTACACATCCATACACAAAACCATTGAGGGAAAAGACCTCTCAAAGAATATACTCCAAAACATTAATAGTTATCTCTCGAAAGCAAGATCAAGGGTATTTAATTTCTTATTTTGGACTTTTTCCTGTGTTTTCTACATTTTCCACAATGCACATATTTTACGGGACAGAGAAAAGATCAACAGTATAAATATGTCCTTCTGTTACTCCCTGTTTACATTAAAAAGTCCCAAATTCTTTGCCATGCAAAGATTCAACTTACTTTCAGGACATCTTTCTAACTTACACCTCATGATTTAATTAAACTAACAGTCACTGCACTTCACGTTGATCTATGCTTTCCCTATCTCTCCCCTTCTTACCCTATTTCCATTACCCCCCTGTCAAATCTATTCAGTTATCAGGCTCAGCTCAAGTATCTCTCATATGATCATGGTATAAGTGAAAAAAATAGGTCTGTCTGATTCTCGAGTCCCTCAATTAAAAGCCCTGCTCTTCCAGTCACTGACTTTGGGTAAGTTAATTAAAGTCTTTGAAACTCAATTGTCCTTATCCATAAAAGGACAATACAACCTACTTCAAATAGCAGTAATTAAGTAACAGAAAATAAAACAAGTACAATGCCTAGCACAATGCGTTACTTGCTTCCATCTTGTTTGTAAGGGACATATGTGACTCAAATTTGCAGCAATGATAAATCTTACATTTTTCACCCCATGTTCTCTCTGGAACACAAAGGCCAGAGAGTGTTAAGCAAGAACAGTCTCAAAACTCAATTAGCACTACTCCTCAGTCTCTTTCGAGGGATTCTCTTTCTCCACCACTGTTTGCTTTTTTTTCACTTTCTGTACAAACCACACCATGGCTTTGTCTACCATCCATAAGCTCATAACTCTAACCTATAGCTCCAACTCAGATTTCTTCCTGTAACTCAAGATTATAAATCTAACCACCTAATAAATGCCTTTACCTGGATGTCCCACAAAAAACCCAAACCTAAAATAAACTTATTTTCTCCCCATAAACATGTCCATCTTCCTACAGTCCCGATGGCACCAGCATCCATCAAAGACAGAACCCTAAGAACATTCTATGTTGCTTTCACCCTCCTCTCCACGCTGAGTCTTTCAGTCCATTACAAAATGCTGGTCTACCTGCATCCCAAACATCAGGCAGTCTCCTGCCTTAGTGCAGTTACACACACTGTTCCCTCTACCTAGAAAACCCTCTACTTCCTTCTTTGCTTAACTAACTTCTCTCATCCTTTACAAATGAGCTAAAGGATTATCTCTTCTAGAAAACAAAATAATTAGCATTTATTAAGCACATACTATATTCCAGTTACTATACAAAACACTTTGCATGCACTGACTTGCCTAATAACCAAAATACAGTGATGAAGTAGGTACCATGATGTTTCTACAGGAAGGAAAGGCCAAGAGTAGAATTCATGGGTGGTCATAGATAGCAAATACAGGGTATCCCCCAAAAATGTATACATACACACTTTAACAGCTGATAACTCAATTTTCACTCCTTTTCAAGTTTAACTGATTTGAAATAATGGGTGAAGCCAGACTAAGCTTTGAACAAAGAAAATTTACCCTAAAGAGCCACTAGACTTTTTTTTATGGGGATACATAAGAGATAAAGTTGATGGTACAAAACCAGCAATGGTTGACAAATTGAGGGCACATAAATACTGAATGAAATGATTCAGTTTTTTGTTTTTTTAATCGTCACCGAGGATATTTTTCCCGTTGCTTTTCAGAGAAAGTGGAAGGGAGAGAGAGACACATCAATCGGTTGCTTCCTGCATACGCCCCGACCAGGGCTGGGAATAGAGGTATGTGCCCTTGACTGGGATGGAACCCAGGACCCTTCAGTCTGCAGGTCAACACTCTAACCACTAAGCCAAACTGTCCAGGGCAAAATGATTCTCCATGTTTGTGATTCCATTGCTTCACATTATCAGCAGTTCCTGAACCAGAACCATTATCAGTTTGAAAACAGGCGTTGACAAAAAAAATTATTCATTTCTATAGTTTCTTTTAAATTTTGAAAATGAACTGTATGTTAATTAACATTGACTTTATAATCATTCAAAGTGTGTATACATTTTTAGGGGACACCTTGTAGTATAAATGTAATTCAAACACACCTAAGTCCAACCCCAGTGCACTTCTTATGGTCTCAGCCTCCCTATTATACCACAGCTTCCCATTCCTACCTCCTCCCACCCCAATCCCATAACCTCCTGCCCCTCTACCTGCCATAAAGAAGAGCCTGTGTGGAACACTGTAAAGCCTATGGCTTGGTTTGTCTTTTCTCAAATGAGTCTGTGAGCTAACTTGACAACAAGGTCTATTTTATATATGTTTCCTGCTACCCAGCAGTGTGTCTGGCACACGGAAGACCTTCAAAAAGTATTAGGTTCCTCTCCCTCCCCTTTTCCCCCCTAAGTCTGAAACTCTCTTCCTCCCTCCTCAAAACCCTATAGCACTTTATACCTCTTCTGCCTCATATTACCATTTTGTATAACTTATTTTCCCCAACCAGACTAGCACTCTTTGATGGCAAAGGACAGTTTAAAAAGTCGTCATGAAAATACTTTTGCCTGAGTAATTGTTCAACAAACAACTGGTAAGTGAATCTGTAATCACAAGAGCTATTGTTTCACTGTCTTCCTTTCTCTTGCGTAGGCTTCTTCCCACCTGTTAAACAGCAGCCACGGTTAGCAACCACGGCGCCCAAGCCACACGGGTTTCCTGATTAATTTACGAAATGTTTCCCGGTATCAGGCACTGAGGGGAAACTCAGACTCGGATTAGGAAAGGGTTTCTGGTCTCCAAAGAAATTCAACCGACGCAAGAGTCGGAAGCGCCGGACGGATCAGGTGCGAGCCCGTCACGTGGCTCGCGGCGGCCGCGACGCCCGGCGCTCAGTCAGGGTCGCGGAGCCGGCTGCGCCCGCAGCCCGCGCAC